CTAAACTTTAGGGTAGGTACCAGGTTGGGATCCTAAACTTTAGGATAGGTACCAGGTTGGGATCCTAAACTTTAGGGTAGGTACCAGGTTGGGATTCTAAACTGGTTAAAGTTCGCCACAGGGATAGACAGGAACGGGTGGGGGTTTTCATTTGTTCTAGCTGATGAGTGGAATCCTTCCTGGTGTAAGCCTGTTAACCTCAGGTTGGCAGTTTAAACCCACCAGCTGTGAGTCGGAAGTGACTTAACTGCATATAACAACAAGCTGGCAAGTACTTGCCACGTTTAAGAAGCCCTGGTCCAGGTCCAGCTACCTTAGAGATGTGCACACACGTGTCTGCTCCCAACTCTGCTGTCATCCAGCCTTGGAGTCCCCCATGCTCCAACCTCCATACTAGGTTCTGGGCAGTTGGAGGTCTGGGTGAGGCTTGAAAAGTGAAGAGTCTCAGAAAGTTGGGGAGGACCTCTGTCCCCCACCTCAGCCCCCAAGTGCAGTGGCAGGGGAGCCAGACTGGAGTCAGAGGAACTGGAGTCCAGTCCCACTTGGCCCTGGGCCCAGTCCTCACCCCACATGCCTCATTCCTCTCCTGCAGTGAGGGCCATGAACTGACTGTCTTTCAGGACCCCTCAGCTTACAGCTAGGCCTCTGTTTGCCCCTTTGGGCCACTGCAGGCCTGAGCTGAGCCCTGGCGTCCCAGTCCCTGCTCCTCCTGACCTGTTACCCCTCAACCTTGATCTGGAGGCTGTGGGGTGGCCTCCTGGCCTTGGCACCTTCTGTCCTTTCTCTCTTGTGGTTGTGGCTGTCCAGTGAGCTCCAGGGGCACAGTGAGCAGGAAAGGGGGAGCTGGTTCTTAGGCCCCTGGCAGTAAGCAGACAGTCCTAGTCGGGGTCACAGCCTGTCATTGCCTGGACTGACACCCCTCCTTCCTCAGAGCCAGCTCTCCTGAGCCACCTGCCTCCTGCCTAGCGTGGCCCCCCACCTGCTCACTTCCCCTGCCCTTGGGCACCACCACCAGCCGGCTGTGAATAGCTAGTTGGGACTCGATGCTGTGTCTCTGGGACTCCTGGGGCCTGATGGTATAGTGGATCAGGCATTAGGCTGCTAACCAGAGTTGGGGGGAGCAGCTCTGCTGCCCTATAGGGTCATCACGAGTTGGAATCAGCGGTAGTGCCCACCCTCTGGCCTCTATAACCACTGCTTTGTTCTGCTGTCCTCTTTCCTCCTGAACTGGACATGCCCCCGGAGCCTTACAAGCTTCTGATTGTCTTTCTAACCTGGGGCCATCTCAGAAGCCTTCCAGGACCCCTGGATGCACCTTCCAGACCCTCTTGTGCCCAGAACATCCCGGGCCAGGAGCTGCCCGAGGCAGGCACTGGCTCACCCATCTGCCCTGGGCTGAGCTGAATGGTGACCAGTCCCTGTCCTCGTCTCTCTAGGCTGACCTGAGCAGCCTTCCCGAGATCGACAACTCCCTGGCGGTGTTCTGCATGGCCACCTATGGCGAGGGAGACCCCACCGACAACGCCCAGGACTTCTACGACTGGCTGCAGGAAACAGATGTGGAGCTCTCTGGTGTCAAGTACGCGGTGAGTTGCCTGGTCTTTCTCCAGCAGCTTCCTGGGGCCTTGTGGCATGGAGTCTGCCAACTTGTCACCTCTTCTGATTGACCGGGGCAGGTGAGAGTATCAGGATGGGAGGCTGTAAGCTGAGGGCCCGGCTGCTCATGGTCACGTCTCCACATTTGGGGGCCTTCTTCTGCCCTGAGACCCCCAGCAATGAAGAGAGCTTTTTGTTTCAGGGTCCCCAACCCCAGCTGGTTTCAGGGGGACAAAAGGCAGGTGACCAAGATTTTGGCTGGGCAGGGGAAGCCAAGTGACCAACTGGCCAGGGTATCTCCCTGCTGGCCACATACAGTTGAGGCTTAGAGGGGTCCCTGGATACTACAACTTGTGGGCTGCAGGTCATCTAAACAAAAGTCAGTCCAGGGGTCAAGACAGCCCAGCTGTTCCCACGGTACAAGGTAACTGGTAGGTTCTGAGGCCTGGGGATGCTCCTTGATGGCTTGGTCAGCTTTGTGGGGAAGCTGACCTCCTCCCCAGGCTCGGCCCATCAGGCTGGAGGCCTGCTTCACTGCCCACCATCCTGTGCCCACAGGTGTTCGGCCTGGGGAATAAAACCTACGAGCACTTCAATGCCATGGGGAAGTATGTGGATACTCGTCTGGAGCAGCTGGGAGCCCAGCGCATCTTTGAGCTGGGGATGGGAGACGACGATGGGAAGTGAGTGCCCCCACCCTTGCGCTGCCCACTGGACCCTTGTCCTGTCTGCCCTCTCATCCCCCAACCCTCACTGGTCCTAGGAGCCAGGGGTCTAGGGAGTTGGCGCTGGGATGTGAAAGGGGTGGGGGTGGGAGCCACCGCTGCCTGCTTGCTGAAACCCACTGATACTGTCAATAAGGGACAAGCAGCCCCGTCCCTGCCCAGCCTGCCATCAGACAGAAAGAACCTTCCATGGTTGGTGTGGACAAGGCTCTAGGTCCCTCCCGTCACGTGGGGGGGGAGGGGGGGCGCTGAGGGTCTGGCAGGCCTAGCAGCCCAGCCCGATGCCCCCTCCCCGGGTCCTGCTGCTCCAGCCCTGCGCATTCTCTCCTCCCCACAGCTTGGAGGAGGATTTCATCACGTGGCGAGAGCAGTTCTGGCCGGCCGTGTGTGAGCACTTTGGGGTGGAGGCCACTGGGGAGGAATCCAGGTGAGCAGAGGCCTGCAGGCAAGTGGGTGGCAATAGGGATGTGACAAGGAGAGATGTCAGCAGGCTTGAGCTGTACTGGAGAATGACAGGGTGTCGGGGAAGGGCTGTATTCACCTCCAAGAATCTCTTTGAAGCCTCCCGACCTAGAGTCCCAGCCCTGCCTGGCTTTCTCCCGGGCTCTGTTCCCTCCCCTTGCTCTCTCCTGCCTCCCTGATCCCCATGCATCTGCTGGGGGACCTCACACCCCTATGGCCTGCCCTGAGGGAGCCCCACAGCCTTTTAGCCCTGCCCTCACCCTGTCTCCCCTGCCAGCATTCGCCAGTATGAGCTTGTGGTCCACACAGACGTGGACATGGCCAAGGTGTACACAGGCGAGATGGGACGTTTGAAGAGTTATGAGAACCAGAAACCGTGAGTGGCGGGTGTGAGCCTCCTTGTCCCAGAGTGGGGGGGGGGGCATGGACAAAAACTCCCTTGGGCCCCTGCCCTGCTGTCACAGGGAAGGCCAGCATTTCAGTGACTTCACTCCCACCCCCGAGTAAAGGTTCGAATGCACGTGGCATGGGCGCAGGGTCTGTGTTCCAGTCATTGGGGGACTTGGGCTCCTGGCTCCGAGTCTCGGTCCTCTACCCTTAGCCCACCTCAGGCAGAGAGCATGGAAGATCTGAGTATTTTAGGGGCTTGCCTCTGTCATCCTATCTGTTATGGGGACATTGCTAAGCCAGCCTGCCCACACTGCAGCGTGGAAAAGACTGGGCTGGACTGGCTGGAAGAGCACTTGGCGTAATTATAAAGTTTCTGTGCCGTCCTTGGAGACCCAGAGCACCCCAGGCCAGCCCCGTGTGTTGTGCAGACACAGAACAGTCCCTCGAGGATGGGGAAATTCAGATCAGAGGTTCAGCCAATCCCAAGCTTCTTTCCTCCCCACCCAGTCCCTTCGATGCCAAAAATCCTTTCTTGGCTGGGGTTACCGTCAACCGGAAACTCAACCAGGGGACTGAGCGGCACCTCATGCACCTGGAACTGGACATCTCTGATTCTAAAATCAGGTACTGGCTGCCACCACCGCCTCCCCCCAGCCTGCCTCTGCCCAGCCCCCTTTTCTGAGCCTCACTTCTCCTCAGATATGAATCTGGGGACCATGTTGCTGTCTACCCGGCCAACAACTCCACCCTTGTAAATCAGCTCGGGGAGATCCTGGGTGCCGACCTGAATGTCGTCATGTCCCTGAATAATCTCGATGGTAGGTCTGGGAATCAAGACCCCCGCCCCCTCCCCAGCTCCCACTCCTGACTGCATCCATCCTGAGTGACCCTGGCTGTGGCCTATTCCTTCTCAGCAGTTCTAGAACAGCCCCCAGAGGCCCAGCATAAAAGGGAGCTGGTTTCGTGGCAGGAGTGTGTGCCCCCGGGTGTGCCTGCACCGACTTGGCTATCTCAGTCAGGGTCATGACCTTTGTGCCAGCCGATGCCAGCTCTTGCAGGGGAAGACCATGGCGATCACTCGCCCACCAGCTGAGTCAGAGCCCCTTCAGGGGCCTGTACTTCTCAGAGCAAAGGCCCCCTAGTAGTACAAGTCCAGAGGCTGGTTTGGGACTGGCACAAGAGGGCTCCAGGGTGCCAGGAACACTGTGACACTTAAGTCCGGTTCTCACTCCTTCCCCAGTCAGATTGGGTTGAGGGTGGAGGGTGATCAGAAAAACTCTCCTGTGGAAGCACAGTGCACAGGTGTAGCCCGCAGGCCGCCGGACACAGACTCGGTCCAGCCTGAAGCTTAAGGCCTGGTCCAAGTCTGAGGCCACCGTGTCCCCAGAATCCTGCCTTCCCTCCCCACAGAGGAGTCCAACAAGAAGCACCCCTTCCCGTGCCCCACCACCTATCGCACGGCCCTCACCTACTACCTGGACATCACCAACCCGCCCCGAACCAACGTGCTTTATGAGCTGGCTCAGTATGCCTCGGAGCCCAGCGAGCAGGAGCACCTGCGCAAGATGGCCTCCTCCTCGGGCGAGGGCAAGGTACCCACCCACCCCCCGTCCCCTAAGGCTGACCTTGAGCCAGGCCATGTCCCTTCAGCCCTACACCCCAGTCCACCTCCAGGCCACCATCAGTCTCCAGCCCGTGTCTCTTTGGCTCACAAGGAACTTTCTGGGACGTGGCCACAGGGTGGTTAGGATATCGCTGAGGAAGAGGAGGAAGGAGGCAATGCTGGGAGACTGGGTTAGGACGGGCTCCCCACTTGCCACCTAGCCTTTCTCCAAGCTCCTTAGGTCCTAACTGTAGCCCCCATTCCTCACAATGCCTGTTGCATACCTACCTCTTCCCAGGAGCTGTACCTGAGCTGGGTGGTGGAGGCCCGGAGGAACATCCTGGCCATTCTACAGGACTACCCATCCCTGCGGCCCCCCATCGACCACCTGTGTGAGCTGCTGCCTCGGCTCCAGGCCCGCTACTACTCCATTGCCTCATCATCCAAGGCAGGTGGCTGCCTAGGAGGCCTAGCCCTGTGTCTCTCCAAGGGGCTTCAGTGTAAAGGAGGCCCCAGAAGCACCAGCTGTGTGGTGAGGCCCTCCCATGAGCTGCTCACTCCCTGTCGCCCCACCAGGTCCACCCCAACTCTGTGCACATTTGTGCTGTGGCCGTGGAGTACGAGACCAAGTCTGGCCGAGTCAACAAGGGCGTGGCCACCAGCTGGCTACGGGCCAAGGAGCCTGTGGCGGAGAACGGCCACCGGGCCCTGGTGCCGATGTTTGTGCGCAAGTCCCAGTTCCGCCTGCCCTTCAAGGCCACCACACCTGTCATCATGGTTGGCCCTGGCACTGGCGTTGCCCCCTTCATAGGGTTCATCCAGGAGCGCGCCTGGCTGCAGCAACAGGGTGAGTGATGGCCGGGGCAGGAGGGGTGTGGGGGACAGGCCTGGTTACCCTGGGGAAGGATGGGTATGTGGGGGGGGGACAGGCCTGGCTACCCCGGGGAAAGAGGGGTGTGGGAACAGGCCTGGTTACCCCGGGGAAGGAGGGGTGTGGGGGCAGGCCTGGCTACTCCTGGGAAGGAGGGGGGGACAGGCCCTCCTCTCAACAGCAGGTCTCCGGATACTCTAGGGAAGGACGTGGGGGAGACAGTGCTTTACTACGGCTGCCGGCGGGCTGATGAGGACTACCTATACCGAGAGGAGCTGACCCAGTTCCACAAGGACGGGGCCCTCACCCAGCTCAACGTGGCCTTCTCCCGGGAGCAGGCGCAAAAGGTGACACAGAGCAGGCCTGGAGGGTAGGGGACTCTGACTGGCCCTCCCCACAGGTCTATGTGGGGCACTTACTGTGGGGTTATGGGTAGGGGACCCCTGACTGACCGGTCCTCCCCGCAGGTCTATGTGCAGCACTTACTGTGGGGTTATGGGTAGGGGACTCCTGACTGACCAGTCCTCCCCACAGGTCTATGTGCAGCACTTATTGAAAAGGGACAAGGAGCACCTCTGGAAGCTGATCCACGAGGCTGGCGCCCACATCTACGTCTGTGGGTGAGTGAGGGGAGGGAGCTGGCCTGCCTCTCCACTGGGTGGTCTCTTTCCCCACACCCCTTGACACCACCACCCTCCTGCCCCCAGGGATGCTCGGAACATGGCAAAGGACGTGCAGAATGCCTTCTACGACATCGTGGCTGAGTTTGGGGCCATGGAGCACACACAGGCTGTGGACTACATCAAGAAGCTGATGACCAAGGGCCGCTACTCCTTGGATGTGTGGAGCTAGAGACCGCCAGCTCCGCCCCCCGCCCCCCAGCCTGCGCCCATGTGATCACTTCCTTCACTCCCCTCTGCCAGTCTTCTGGGTGGTGTCTGCTGGGCCTTGGAGGATGGCCCAGATGTACCCTCCTTCATGCCACAGGCTGAGCTGGGGCCTGGCCCCCCCACCCCCATGATTTTCAATAAGTGTAAATAATTTTAAATAACCTTTGACCCTTGGAATAAAAACCTGGTTTCTGTAATTACCTGTGGTGGTCTGAACAGATGGGAGTGGAGGGGGTGCTCTTTCCTGGATCTGCTTCGAACTGACCAGAGACCATTTCCACCTGTGCCCTCAAGGGAACACACCTCAAGCCACCTCTATGACTTCGTCCTTTATTTTGGGGGGTGGGGGAGGCAGAACCCCAGAGCCAAGGTCTCCCTCTCCAGCACAGCCGTCAGGGCCCCCCAGAGTCCCAGGGAGAGTGGATGAGACCCTCAAACACGCGAAGCTGCCCCTTGCTGTCTGCAGGGGGTGCCCAAGCCTCATTCTTTCTTGCTCCCGTGCCACTGGCTGTGGAATTTCTGGCGCACGACCCGCAGGGTAGTGAAGAAGTTGCCAAGGAAGAGGATGAAGAAGGGGAAGCCACACATGAGCACCTGGAAGGAAGAGGGGGCGGGGAATGGGTGAGGGCAGACCCCGCTGGGCCTCCCCACTTGCTTCCCCAGGACCCACTGCTCACCTGCCACTCCTTACACTCTGGGTCCCGGGCCATGTGAAACAGGGTCAGCGCATTAAAAAGCTGCCAGAACTGGTGCAGAGAGAGGGAAGAAGTAACCGTGCAGAACCCAGCTCAACGGTGGACCCAGGGCATGGGCAGGGACAGACAGACAAAGATACCGCTTACATGTCCAAAGAAGAGGAAAGGCAGCAGGAAGGTGAGGCCCCGCCACATCCAAGACTGGAAGCCCTCTAGGGGTGACAGAACGTCAGGACCCACACCTACCAGGGAGAGGAGCTGCCATAGACCCCCAGTGGCCCACCCTGCCAGGGTCCCGGGCCGGCTCACCCACGGTGAGGTCCATCGTGTGCCTCTCGCCCAGGGCCCGCAGGCGGTACAGACAGCCGCTTTGGTAGTAATACTGTAGGAACTGCACAAAACCTGAGGGCATGGGAGGAACCAGCTGGCACCAGAGGCCCTGGCCCTGCCCCTGCCCGAGGGTCAGCCCAGAGACAGACTGGGCTCTGAGACACTCACTCTGGTACATGGAGAAGGACAGGAATTGGTTCCGGAACCTCTGGTACATGAGGCCATCGGGCCTGAGGCAGAAAGCAGGGATGGTGGAAGGAGGTCGGGAGCGGCCCCCACCCACCAGCTGAGGCGACAGCCACTCACCACGTCAGCATGACCCCCGACAGGAACGTGGAGACATAGTGATGAAACACCCACCAGCCTTTGATCCTGGACGAGGAACTCTCATCACTCCTCCTGTCCCCTGAGCCCCGAGGTCCGTGCTCGGGGACAGGGAGTGAGGCTGAAGAGGAAAGAAACCACTGCCCGTCCCAGGGGCCACCGCACCCATTCTCACCGGGAGCCATTGTTGATGAGAATGCTCTCTCGGATGGTCAGGGTGCAGTAGTACCAGACCAGCAGAAAGTTGAAGGCAGCGTCTGTTACTCTGGGAACAGGGGACACAGGGTTGCTGCCACAGAGCCTAGAGAGGGCACAGGTCTAAGCCCGAACCGGGACACCCACCTGGAGTTGAGGAGGAAGCGGCAGGTGAAGGAGATAAGGATGAGGATGATGGTGAGGTAGAGCTTGAACTTCTCGTACTCGTCCTTGTAGGCAAACCTGAGGGCGGGGCAGACTCATGGGACAGGATACTGGGGGGCACTCTGCCCCCCGACTTGGTAGTGGGCATGGAGGTTGCATGGGGAAGCAGTCCCCGGGCCCCAAGGCTCAGCCCCCAGGGAAACCAGAACACAGTGTAAAGGTCTCAGGTGGGGCGGAGGCAGAACTGAGACCCAGCCAACAATTACTTCGCCTGCTTGCTAAGGAGTGTCACGTTGACATTACCCAGGACCAGGCTCAGGTACAACCTAGGGAGAAGAAGACTGGGTGAGGAGAGAGCCTGGGTTGGCAGAGAAGCCAAAAGCAAAGCCCCCCAGACAGGCCAGCCAGACCAACTCCTAGGGAAAAGCTTTCCTCCAAATACCCAGGAGAAACCAAGCCCCCACCCTCCTGCGGCATCCCAAGAGCTCCGCTATGTCAAGGACTGGCTCTCCCACCCCCTGGAAGCTGTCCCCAGACTGCTCCTATGTGGGAGACCACCATCTATCACCTGCCCCCCAGTTTCTGGCCACCTCAACTCTAGGCATTTTCAGCCCTGAGTCCATTTCAGTCAGTCACACCCACCATACCCTGCACTTTGTCCCAAAGCACAACGCACGACAATCAACGCTTATCCTTAAAACCTAGGGCTCTGCATGCATTCAGGTCCCAATGCCCAGCTGCCCCACCCACGTCTTACCCACACGGCGCCCTCCCCTCACTGGTGGCCTGGCCCTGGTCTCTGTCCATGCTAGACAAGGGCTCTGCTGGGAAACACCACCTTCTCAATGATACCCTCCGCTCCAGCCTCCTGGCAAGTGCATCCCACCCTGCCAAGCCAGAGACCCCCACAAGGGGAGAAGCCACACTAACACTTCTCACCCACTCCCAGGCTCAGATGGCTCAAGGACTGTCCAAGGCTGAGGAGCTGATGGGGCAGGGCTGAGACCCAAATTAGGCCATGGGGGGCCACAGCTTCGGCACCTGCCCACCCAGCTCCCTTCCTGCACTAGCCTCTTGAGATCTGCTCCAGCCTCTGCCCCAAACCTCCCATCCTCTCGGCAGCCACCAACTCACCTATGGTGTCCCAGAAAGAAGAGCCTGGTGGCTGGCACGCCCCTTCTACCTCAGCTGTGCCCAGTTCCGGGGGTTTCCCTCCATCACTCCAAATACTATTCTGAGTCTTTCTCCCTCTGCTGGGCCCTTTCCTCTCAGCAGGAAATATGCTCAAGTCTGTACTATCTAAAAACTTAAGCAACACAGGTAGCTGGCTTCTTATGAGACACATGTTTAAACGTGGCCACTCCCACCTCCTCAGACACGAGGCCACCCCCATCACCAACTCCCACCTGCACTCACGGGATGAGTGGCTACTGCCCTTCCTGATCAGTTTAACCGCCCTGAGCCAGCTGAAGGGAGCCCTGGTGGCACAGCGGGTTATGAGTTGGGCTGCTAACCTCTAAGTCAGCAGTTTGAACCCAGCAGTCTCTCCATGGGAGGAAGAGGAGGCTGTCTGCTCAATAAAGATGGACAGCCTTGGACACCCTAGGAAGCAGTCCCACTACAGGGGCTCTGTGAGTCGGAATGGACTCTTGGGCAGTGGGTTTGGCTTGGAGCCATCGGAAGAGGTCGCTCTTGCTTTCTGAGACACTCGTCCAGTGGTCTTGCCGCCTCTCCTCTCTTTTCCCATCTTCGCTGACTGCAGCTGACCTTTGTAAGCCTGAATTTGACCTCTCACTGCCCCTGCCTACCTTGGGGATAAATGCAGGCTCTGCAGCTTCCGGACTCCCAGCCCTCCTCTACCTCCCCGTGAATCTTGCCACTTGGTGCCACTTCGGGTTTTGCTCTCTGCCTTGGTTCCCTCCTCCCCTCGCAGGCGGGCGGGCCTGGCTAACTGTCAGGACCCTTCTAGTCTCAGGTCAGGCACCACCCGCTCCAGGACCAGCCTGTCCGCTCAGCCCAGACTAGTCCCAAGAGCACCTGCTGACCAAACTGCCTGGAAGAGAAAGCTCCTAGCACTGAGCAGCTGGGAACTGCGCTGGGGGCGCATCTCACCCGTTCTTCTTAGGCAGGTAGGCCTCCATGTCGAAGAAGAGGCCTTGGCGTTCCTTGATCTGGTTCTCGAGCTGCTGAGCGGCCTCCTCATCCTGGGCTGGGAGCGAGCGTTTGCACCTGCAGATGGAACCACACAAGTCCCTTCCGGTCAGTGCTGGGAACAACCGTACAGCCAGGAAAGGTACAAACAAGGCCCAGAGTGGGGAGAAGCTGGCCCAGGGACACTGCCCGCCACCAGGCCCATGGGGTCAGGGCAGGTCCTAACTTCCTCAGGACAAGGGCCAGTTCCTGGAGGCGCTTCTTCTGCCGACCAATGGCACCGGTACAGTTGTTCTGCAGCTTGGTCAACTCCTCCAACTTCAGGCGGTACAGCCGGTGGGTCTCCTGTGGGGCAGGAGCGGAGAAGGCTCAGGTTGGTGGGGTGGGGGGGGCCTGAGCCAGAGTCTCCTGGGGAAGGATGGGACACCAAACTTTGGGATGGACCCCGCAGAATGGAGAAGAGGCTTGCTGGCCTGTCTGGGATTTCCCTGAGGACTGGGGAGCTGGGGTCTCCTAGCAGCCCAGAGGGTTCAGACACCCTCTCCAAGCAATCGGTGTGTTCCCTGAAGATCTCCTTCATCTCGTTCCATCTGCCAGCTGCCCGAACCCCACCCCCGAGGTCCTTCCCCCGCAGCCAGCCTGCAGTACAAAAGCCCTCTGCTCAGAGACTTCCTTCCAGGCTAAAGGTCACCGGTCCAGCCCTTGGCCCTTAGCTCCCAGCCCCTCCACCTTTGGCCCAGGGCACTCTGACCCCGGGGGCGAGCCTCTCGGAAGGAGCGACTTGGAGGCTGGGGGTCCTCTGCTTGGGGCCAAAGGCCAGGCTGGACCCGGGAGCAGCTGGCTTCACCACGGACAGGAAGGGCATGGACGGCGTCCAGAACGGGCAAAGGCCTACCCAGGCCAGTAACCTGCCCGGCTTCCTCCTCTCACGGCACCCCTCCGCTCCACCCAGCCCACCGGGGTCCCTCCAGCTGCAACTCGCTCCGGCCCCCTCCCCGCTGCAGCCACGTGGGTTGTCGGGTCCCCTTGGGAAGCCTCCGTGGGCGCTCTCACTCGGTCCAGGCAAGTCCCCATTCATTCTGGGGCGCTGCTTGAGAGCGGCCACCCCAAGCACGTATGCGGGGACACAGATGCAGGTCGGGGCCGCCCGGGGTCCGCCAGGGTCGTGCCCGCCGCGCCACGGGAGCCCCGCCAGACGCTCATCCGGAGGGTCCAGCCGGGGCCACGCGGACCCGATACCTCCCCGCCCCGGGGACCACGCCGGGGTCCCGACCTCTGACCCCAGGCTCCCAGACGCCCGACTCTTAACCTGGAGTGCAGAGACGCGGCTAGGGGCCAGTGGTCTCCCGCCGTGCGCCCACCTGGATGCTCTGGAAGTCCTGCTGCAGTATGTCCCAGTCCTGCAGACAGTTGCCCAGCGGGCCTGGGGGCGAAGGCTGCATGGCGGCCGGGCCACAGGCCGGCGGAGCAGAGCGGAGCTGACGGCGCCACAACCCCGGCGGGCCAGAGGCGTCTCCGCCTCCCCAGCCACCGCCCCCGTCCGCTTCCGGACTCGCGCCGCGGCGGCAGCCAATGGGAACGAAGCTTTCGGCGGAGCCGCGCTGGCCACGCCCCCCAGCGCGCCAATCCGGGCCGAGGGCGGGGCCACGTGCCTACCCGGACAGTGGGGCCTGAGTCCGGACGCTCGGTACGATCTTGCCGTCTGGAAGCGCCGGGGGACCCCGGACAAAGCGACAAAGCGCGGGGAAGAGCTGCTTGTTTCTGTCACTCCCGCCCCGGGGCCGCCGTCTCAGCATCCCTCTTGGCCCTTCCCGCAGGCATAAGCCTGTCCTTCCCAGCATGCCGGTGGCGCCCCTGCAGAACCTCGGCTCCGCACCACCCCGGGCGCTCCTCTAGTTCACCGGGGCTTGCTGACAAAAAACACTTCCTCTCCTGCAAGACCCGACCTCTCCTTAGAAGCTTGGTCTTCCTTTTAGGAAAGACCTCTGACCTGCCCCAGTCCAGCCCAGCAGAGGAGCCCTAGGCGGAACCGTGGTTGTCACCTTTGTGTCCCAACCCAGCCCAGAAAACCCAAAACCAAACCCACTGCCAGTGAGTTGAGTCTGACTCCTAGCGACACTGCATAGGGTTTCCGAGGCTGTTAATCTTTATGGGAACAGCTGGTGGGCTTGAACTGGAGGCCTTGTGGTTAACAGTCTAGTGCTTACCCTACAGAAACACCAGCCAGTCCAAGTGACAGGGAACGTTTGCTGAATGAACTTCAGGCTGGCCCTTCCTGGGTGGATTTCCTAAATTCCCCCACCATTTCCGGGGTCTGTGCCTCCCCTGGGTGGTTGTGGGTGCTGGCAGAGCTAGGGGAAATGCTTCCAGAGAACAGCTCCCTGGAGTTCAGAGGAATTTCTAGGAACCTGAGTGTGGCAAACAAGCCAGGGAGAATCCAGTGGGGAGGGAAGAACGGGAAAGTGGATCAAGCGATCAGGGGCAGGGGTGAGGGGTGCTGGGTGTTGGGATGTGTTCTTGTACCAACAGCCCCTGAGGGACTGTGGAGCCTGGGGGCCCAGCCAGCACTCATGTCTGCCCATGGGTGGGCTTTGTGACACCTCCTGGTAAGTCCCTGGAGCTCCTCCCCGGCAGGTCTCCAGATGTGCAGACCATGGGGGAAGGAGGTGGCCACCACAGTGCAGTCAGTACAGGAGGTGACCCTGGAGGCCTGGGGGCTGAGTAGAAGTCCCTGGGAAGAATCACTGCAGAAGGCTGACACAGGCTTCAAGCAGCAAATGCCTTCTTCCAGACCAAGCCCTTTACCCAGCCTGGTTCACAACGCCCCACAAGAAGCCCCCAAGTGACATGTCCAGGATCCCTTGCTGGCCTGGAAGATGATCAGTAGTGCAGATCCAAGATGTTTGTGATGAGGTCTCCAAGAACAATTTTCTCCCAGAGCAGAAGCTGGTTCACGAAAGCCCGGTTTGGACACATGTTGCCTTTGCACTTCTTGATGTAGTTCCAGGAGCTCTGTGACGACAAGCAGAGTGGACATCAAGATCGGTCCTAGACCTTTCCCAATGCAGACAATACCAGTGCTGGGAGCAAATGGGCATTTGTCCAGGGTCCAGATCAAGGGCCAAAAAAACCACAGCGGCCAGGGGCTAACTCTTTAGGGTGATGCGCTGTGACTCAGCCTTGAGATTCTGAACCCGGAAACGGAAATGATTCCTCCTCAGAGGGCTCCTGTGGAGACGAAGGCAACATCCGTGAACCCACCCTCACCAAAGGTGTGCAGGCGGGTGGGGAATTAACAAGAAGGGGAAGAGAGTGGGGACTAATTCTTTGGAGAAGGAAAAACCGAAGATGACCACTCTCAGGCAACCATCCTAAAGTGCAGGAAGGGGGCTAGTGAATAGAGAAGGTGACCAGCTGGTCCCCATCTTGACCGAGGACAGAAGAAAATGATCAGACCAAAAATGGTGTGGGGGCACAACTGTACAGCAGTAAGGTTTACTAAGCCCTTCGGATTTTCCCTTCCCGTCAACACACACACAAGCTCTTTCCGTCACACAGAGCATGCGCCTTTCACGGCACCTGTGGCAGACAGGAAGAGCAGATGCTGCCTAGGACATGCCCCAGGCCACACTTCGTAAGGGGCAGCGCCCAGCCGCGTCCCATCCTTCAGACTGCCTACCCTGCTGTTTCGGTGTCCTGTTCAAGTCTGGCTTCAAATCCCAGCTCCATCCTCTATGCAATGGCAGGACCTTATGTGGCAGGGCTCCAGTGTGTTTATTACTCCTGAAGTCATAGTTGTAGTACTTCGTCATTTCTGGCTCTCATGGCGCCTTAGACATGTGCTTCCCTGATGATCTCTCAGGGTCAGAGCTACTCTCGGCAGTTTAAAGGCACCAAAATCAATTTCTTCTGGGCTTGGGGATCCCACACTCTTTTTAAAATTAAAGAACACACAAAAAATACATATAAACTATAAAGCAATTCTTAGATGCTGTAAGTTAGTTCTGACTCATAATGACCGTATACACAACAGAACAAAACACTGCCCACTGCTGCTGCCACTGCGCCAAACCATCTCATTGGGGCTCTTCCTCTTTTTCACGGACCCTCTACTTTACCAAACATGACGTCCTTCTCCAGGGAATGGTCCTTCCTGACAACATGTCCAAAGTATGAGAGACGAAGTCTCATCTCTGGCTTCTAAGGAACATTCTGGCTGTACTTCTTCCAACACAGATTTGTTTGTTCTTCTGGAAGTCAACATTCTTCTCCAAAACCATATCTCATAAGCATCCATTCTTCCACTGTCTTCCTTATTCACTGTCCAATGTTCACATGCATACGACGCTACTGAAAATACCATGGCTTGGGTCAAGCACAGCTTAGCCCTCAAACTGACATCTTTGCTCTTGAACACTTTAAAGAGGTCTTGTACTGCAGAGTTGCCTAATGCAGTACGTCATCTGACTTCTTGACTGCTGCTTCCATGAGTGTTGATAGTAGATCCAAGCAAAATGAAGCCTTGGACAACTTCAATCTTTTCTCCATTTATCATGATATTATTTTTTGGTCCAGTGGTGAAGATTTTTGTTTTCTTTACATTGAGGTATAACCCATACTGAAGGCAGTGGATCTTCATCAGTAAGTATTTTAAGTCTTCTTTGTGCTCAGCAAGCAAGGTTGTATCATCTGTATATTGCGAGTTGTTGATGATGCCACGTTCTTCTTCATAGAATCCAGCTCCTTGGATCATTTGCTCAGCGTGAAGGTTGAGTAAGTATGGTGAAAGAATACAACCCTGGCACATACCTTTCCTGTTTTTAAACCATTCAGTGTTCCCTTGTTTTGTTCGAACAACTGCCTCTTGGTCTAAGTACAAATTCTTCATGAGCACAATTTTGTGTTTTGGAATACCCATTCTCTAAAGTGTTGTCCATAGCTTGTCCGGCTCCACACAATCGAAAGCCTCTGCAGAGTCAAGAAAGCACTAAATGTCGAAGTCATAGAAAGCAGGTAGCAGTCCGACATCCAGGCTCAGCAGAAAAGCTGATGGAGACAAGAGATGATGTCATAGAGGAGGGGAGCCCGTGCCCACGAGCTTTCTAAGTTTCCTGTCCTCACCGAGGCTCAGGAGAGGCACTCAAGGGGGGGTGTGCAATCTGGTGCTCTTCACGTAGCTCAAAGCTCTCAGCGTCTGGAGCTGCTGAGGGTAAGAGGTTTTCCATTTCTGGATAGGTGTTACCTACAGCAGGAACCGGCTTTTTGCTTCACCAGTCTTCTCAATCACCTTCCTGGCAAAGAAGGGTGGCTGCTTTGGTTTTAGGGGTCCATTAGTCTTTACTGACTTTTCTGTAGCTCCGCTGATGGCTTTCAGTAAGGCAGTGGAACATCAAGTATTTCACCAACACGTGATGTTGACACCTGAGATCTCCCATCTAAGGCTTTCACTGAAGACTCAGATCCCAGCTTTAGCCCACCCATCCTTAGGTGCCACACAAGTGCCTGGTTCTCGATTTCTCCTATCAACAAAGTTCAGAGGAGCCATTCTGGATTGCTCTTGATCTCAAGAACCAAATTCACCCATGCTCTCCTGAAAGGAAGATTTAACTTTCCGCACCAAAGCTTTGGCAGCCCCCCACCACTCTCCTGAAAGGAAGATTTAACTTTCCACACCAAAGCTTTGGCAGCCCAGGTAAAGGGTGATGGGAGGCTCTGGGTGCTAGCCAACTTTGGGTTCCAGCTCACTCCTGGACCCCCACCCTCCCAGGAGGGGTAGGTGGGGAGGAGACAACTCTAAGAGCTGGCCTTGTGCCTGAGGAACACTGGGGCTACAGCCGGCTCCCAGAGCAGTACGCTGTGCCCAGGAGGGGTGCACACCCTTCCTTGCCTGGCCTTCGGACTCTGATCGCAGAGCTATGCCCAGATCCCCTGAGTCTGTGGCCCCGGGTACTGCATGGTGGCAGGAGAGCTAACCTAGCTAGAGGGTTTGCTGAGCCAGAAAGGCCTGCCAGGACCACAACTCAGCACCCCGTGACCCCAGAGCTCCATGTCAACACATCTCTCATGGCCGAGAGTTCTTGAGAGGGCACAGCAGGCTGCTCCTCTGAGGTCCCGGCCACCGGGAATACATCGTGCCGTGTCTCCCTGCAGGGGGACTGGTCCTGCATGAGTTTATCACAGTGACAGCTGGGCCCTCGCCGCAGGAGAACCTCACTCTGCTCTTCCCTGTGGCCTCGGCTCTGGATGTGGCCAGAGAGACAATTGCACTTTTCTGGGAAAGTGTCCGGTGCCCACATCTAATGGGTCCTTGCCACCAAGTGTCAGAGGAGTGAGAGCTCTGAAGGCTGTGTGCCCAAGCCCCTGCTGAGTCGTAGGGACCCTGTAGGACAGAGGAGACCTGCTCCCTAGGTTCCTGGGACTGTCATCTTTACGGAGCAGACTGCCTCATCGTTCTCCGGCAGAGCGGCTGGTGGGTTTGAACCACCACACTGAAGTTAGCAGCCCAATGCTTACCCCACAGCACCACCAGGGCTCCTCCCTCTTTGAGTGATGACAGAACAGGAACCACAGCAGGGTGAGCTCCAGGGGGCTCGAGCTGAGGAGCCCCTTGGGCCCCCGTTGGCGGATAAGCTCTGCCTCCAGCCTAGCTGGGGAGGGGTTTCTGCCAATTCCCACTAGCTCTGGATACCAGCCAAGACCCCGCCCCCACAACAGTCCTGGAGCGTGAAGATCCAGAAAGTCCTCCTGGGACGGGGTGTGAGGTGTGAGGACAGGACCTTGAGCGCGACACCCTGTGAGTGTGTACCCAAGCCTCCTTGTAGCACCTTCACTCCAGAAAGCACGCTGGATGAAGGCTGTGGTCTCTGTCTGCCTCTCACTTACTCCAAACACCCCTTGGCACTGGTTTTCTGGATCTGACCCTAACCTTCAAAAAGCCCATACAAGCCGTCGGTGAAGTAAGGCTCCCCACCCCACAAGTCCTGGAGCGGGAGTCAGGAACCCCAAGTCCCCGTGGAGTTTGCTGTGATGACTCCCAGCTCCCTACCCACCTGGGGGCCCTGCTCTCCTCATGAGGAAGGGAGATGGTGGGTTGAGACCCTAGGACCCGGAGCTGAAGCCAGCTGCTGCCTGCCTTGCAGAGTGTTGGACAGATGCTGGGACACGGAGATGGCAGTGGGGACCCATAGCCAGAGTGCCCAGACCTGCCCCATAGACCCTGCTCCTGGACAACAGGGTAAGGTCACAGCCCAGGCTCCGGAGCTGCCCTCCCAGAGCCCTGCCCTGCCCACCTGTCAAGAGGCCCCAAAGACAGTGCTGTTGCCATGTCCCTCCCAGGTCCAGCCCCGAGCCCGGCTCCTGGGGTGGCCGTGCCCAAGCCTAGACGGGCTGCCTATACCTTCAGAGACTGCCCCTGCCAGTGCATGAGGTAGGCAATGATGACTGCACAGCTGCGACTGATGCCCAGTTTGGAGAAGACCAGGATGACCGAGCCAAGCTCCAGGTGGATGTCTGAAAGAGGTAAGGGTGGGGTGATCACGTACAGCCCCTGTGATAGTTAAGGTTTTATGTCAACGTGACTGGCCAGCTTTGTCAGCGGTTTGGCAGTTGAGATCTAATATCATCAGTTCATGATGAGATCTGCTCTGAGCTGCCCATCAATTACAGGGATGTTCCGGAGGGCTGTGGCTGCTTCTAACCTACACCCAACACTCAGGCCAGGCTTGCTCTCTGCACGGTCTGGATCTTGCATCCAATTCTGCTTCTTTGCACTCAGCCAGTGGCCTGCTCTATTGCCTGCAAATCCTGGGAGTCATCAGCAGCCTACCTTCTTACCTACTGGACCTGCCCGCCTGCCACCTGACCTGTGACCTCCTTGCTGTAAACCTCTCTGCACATATCCACATATTAGCTTCCCTGGTATTATTTCTGCACGGTGGGCTGGGTTTGTTGGCAGATGGCAGGCCTCGGTGGGCCTATAGACCAGGAGTGGGCCCAGAACCTACACAGCACAGTCTGAGCAAATACGTGACTCTACCAAAACTATCACATCACCCAACAAGTGAGGAGACTCCCACCTGGCTGCCAGGTCATGAGAATTCCACATGGACACTCAGGTCTGCTCAGGTCTGCTCTGCAGGCTGCTGACCCCAGAAGGGATGAGCAAGCTGTCCCCCAAGGACACTAGGACACTTACAAAGACAGTATGTTGTTATGGTTGAGCGCCACTGAGTCGGTGGTGACCCTGTATAGGGTTATCCGAGGAGCAGCTGGTGAGCTTGAACCACCAACCTTACAGCTCAAATGGCTTTGCAGTCTGGTGCATTAGCCCACAGCGCCACCCCAGGACTCCAAGGCCAGTCAGTGTAGCATATGCCTAAGAGCCAGGGCTCTACAGTCAAAGGGCCCAGGTGTAAATCTGAGTTATGCCACCCACTGGTGGTGGCATTTTTCTCATCTGAGAAATGGGGTCAGAACATAACCCACCTCATAAAGTGTTTTGCTTGTGCTTAGCACCGAGGCTGGCTTACAAATGTCTGCTGTAACCACCTGACTAATGCCTCCAGAGCTGTGAGGCTCCCCAGGGAGGGGTGAGGAAACAACCGAAGCAGCCTGGTCTGGAATCCTATGAACAGAAGGTAACTTACTAAGCCCAAATCACACACTTTCGGGACTGAGGGGGCTCCAATGACGAGGGCCAACGGTCTCGTCCTATGAGAAAGGCAGTTGAGGCATAGAGCTTCACAGTGATGTGTGAATGCGTAGTGGGCTACTTCGTGCCATGGGACTCTACCACCCACAGTGGGACATGTGGCAAGTCTCAGTCTCTGCTGCTGGGAAAGCTTCAACCAGACACTGAGTAAATACGGCCCAATCGGACCCTGGACATTTAGGCTCAAATACCATTTGCCAGCCCTCCTGCAGTGATTTAGGCTGGGGCTGTCCCGGTGCCAGGCAGGCAGGCATGGTGTGGGGACTCTGAACTGATTCCCCTTTGCTTTCTCCAGGGATCTTGTAGACCAGCATGTGGGAGGTGGCTGCAGAAATCAACCTCAATGAGGGAAGCTATGGTGGGCACCACACATTAACAGAGAGAGCTGGAGGCACACATTGAGAATCCTGAAGTCAGAGCTGGAAGGGGCTTTGGAGTCTTCCTTCCACCCCCACTTCCACCCCACTGACAGACAAGAGTGGTTCACCTCTGGGTCCCCAGAACTAGGGCAGAGCAGGCCTCTGTGAGTGTATTAGGTGGACAAACAGGCACCATGAGGCTGGACTGAACCAGGGCTCTGATGCAGTTTGCTGTCCTTGTTTGGTCCTACTGCCCCGAGGCAAACTCTGGGAGACCACCCAGGATTAGGCAGTGGATGAGGTGCCAAAGCCCATCCGCCCCCTGTCCCAGGTCAGTCGCTACCTGGTTAGAGAAGGCTCCTTACCAATGAAGTGACAGAGGTGGCGTAAAAAGGGAGAAAGATTGGCTTCCAGCGAGTCTTCCACTTGGATGTGAAGAAGCTTGTCAGAGTTGTCTACGAAACTACAGAGAAGAAAACCTCAGGTGATTGGGCAGAGTCACACACAGCTAAGACTCAGGCACTCTGCACATAGGACATAGTGCTGAAGCCAATGAACTGTGATGTCCCATGAAACCATTACCTCAAACTTCCAAACCAAGAAACCAAACCCCATGAGGTATATGGCTGAACATCAGTAGCCTCAATTCTATATTGATGTAAATAAATAAATATACATATAATATATATATATATATACACACACACATATATATATACACTACACCTGCCAGTTCAACTTTTTACAAGCGTACAATTTATTGACTTCAATTACATTCATCATCTGTATAACCTTTAAGCCTTACCTAATGTGAATTTTCACCATAAAAAGAACTCAGAGCCCCTGGAAACAGCTAATAAACACTGGTCTCCACACCTTGCCTGCTCTAGTATTTTCTTTCTAAGTGAGGTCATACAATATCTGTCCTTTGGTGATGGACTTGTCTCATTCACTCAGCACACTGTAAGCTTCATGCATGTACTAGCATGTATCAGGACTTCATGTCTACAGCTATTTCCTGAGTGGGAACGCAGGCCCAAGGCTGGTTCCAGCTCTCTAGGTTTCCTTCGTCACATATACTCACCCAAACCCACTGCTGCCAGATGGATTCCAACTCTAGCGACCCTGTAAGAGCAGGGGCAGTAGTTGTTAAGTGATGTCAAGTCAATTCCGACTCATAGTGACCATGTTTAGGGTTTCCCAGGGGCAGCTTATGCCAAGGGCCACGTGGATGTTTATAGCATCATTCGTGGTCAATATAAAATGATCAACTTAAAAATTAGCCTGTATTTGGTCATACATTTAATTAACTCACTCCTAATGACATCTGGGGGTACTGTGGGCTAATGCACTGAACTGCAATGTCGGCTAGAACTCCGAGGTCGGTAGTTCAAGCTCATCAGTCATTCCTTGGAAAGCCTATACAGGTCGCTATGAGTTGGAAGCAACTCGACAGCACTTAACAATGTGATGGCCAGAACTGCGGTTGTCTGGCCAGGGCCAGACCAAATGATGTCGCAGACCGTATGCAGCCCGTGGGCCGGATGCTCCCACTCCTGAGCTATGGGGTTGCCGGGGCTATACACTTTCACAGGAGCAGACGGCTTCATCTCTCTCCTCTGGAGCAACTTGGTGGGCTTGAGCCACTGACCTTGAGGTTAGCAGCACCCCCAGGGCAGCCACACATTGCCCACCAATTCTTCACTGTCCTATTTGTTTGCTGATCCATAAAGCAGAAGACGTTTTTGATTCTAGAAAATGTTGAGCTTGACAACAGTTGTCTTTGCCAGAGGCCAGCCCAAATTATGTCACAAAGGATTTCATTACCTAAGTAAACATTAATACCAAATTATCTAGTCCAACATACGTGGTAAAAATCCATTCACTTCTGGATCGAGAGCCTCTGTAACTTGGGGATCCATTCGGGGAGAACCACCACAGTCACAGAACTAGGCTTCTGTCCAAGGAAGACTTTCTCCACTATTCACATCTTCTGGTTTTTATCAATATATAAATTAGCACATTTATCACAGGCTTGAAAGAGCACAGCCTGCAGTATGGATTGCATCTCAATGTAAAGAAAACAAAAATCCTCACCACTGGATCAATAAACAACATTCTTATCAACGGAGAAAAGACTGAAGTTGTCAATTACTTCATTCTTCTTCGATCAACTATCAACACTCACGGAAGCAGCAGTCAAGAGATCAAATGCAGTATCGCATTAGGCAAATCTGCCGCACAAGACCTTTTTAAAGTGTTGAAGAGCAAAGATGTCAGCTTGAGGACTAAGGTGCTCCTGACCCAAGCCATGGTATTTTCAATAACCTCATATGCATACGAAAGCTGGACGGTGAATAAGGAAGATCATAGAAGAATTGATG